CGTTTTAATGAGTCGGCAAATTCGACCCCGTTTTACCTTTGCACTCTTTACTCTCCTCTCTTTCATGGAATCTCTGAAAAAAGCCAGTTTTAGGTGTAGAACCTAAGCCACACCCCTTTTCTCCTAAGTTGAAGATTTGAAATTCATAGGAATTTATCGACATTGAAGGTAAAATGATGCAAAAGGCCACAGTATCTTTCCCTCTGAGGCATTATTAGTAGATTAGTAGTGAAGCTAAGTATGTATAAAGTCACTTTTTGCGGTTTAAAAGGAGCGTGGCTTAACCAAATGTTGTCACTTTGACCACAATTGGGAAATTATTGATTTGTATTTAGATTTAGGTAACTTCCATGTGCCACTTCATCGAGGAGACTATTTCCCCGACTCAGCTGTCCACAATTATCCAACTCCATATATTAGAACAACTAATATGGTGCCAACAGGGTATGTATAAACGCTACTTATTGATTAATATTGATTTTCTAAGAATTAATCACTGGGGAATCTTTTATTGATCTCTATATCTTTCAGCTATCCATGGCGACCACCAGCACCAGCCGCTGTCATGGACCTACCGCCACCACCACCGTATCCAGCCGGACGCAAAGCGCCAATGGTGATGTGAAAGAGGCGGAGCCAACGGTTATGCGATGTGAACGAGTTTTCCGGACGCGGTGCTGCTGACGGCTACTTCGTCCTTCTGACGCGACACTAGCGACCTAGCGATTAGCGAGTAGTGCCCTATCTCTTACTCAGCGCACGCGACCCCGCGTCAATCTGCCAAATCTATGTTTTCTACCTCCTTTTACTCTCATCTTTGTTTCGCTCTTCTTCGCTGCTGTACCATAGCGCGCGCCTGCCGCTCGCGACGCTTTTTTTCAATTTTTTCTAAGGAAAAAAATTTTTTGTTAATTTAAAATTAGATGAAACGGAGAGATCATATCTAACGATGTATTGAGTTTTGTCTAACAACAAGCGTCCTTATTGTCTTCTTCTCTATTCCGTGCACGTGTTCTGTTTTCTGTTCCTCGTTTTCCTTTGTTCCTCCCCTCTTTGCATTTTCTGCTCTTCTTCTTCTCCCCCATTTTTGCGACTGTTTGTCGGTGCTCGATTCACTTGCCATGCATCTACTTATATAGCATACAAAGCGCGCTTGCTCTAACGAGGAAAAGCTCAATTACGAATTTTTATCATTTATATGTTACATGTATAGATGTGAATTGATCACACAATTGATAAAAATGTTTTTTTTTTCATGATCTTCTGTTCAGCGTCATGTATTTTCGGTAAAATTGCCGGAAAAAAATTACAGGATTCAAATCAATAACTACAACTTTTTAAATTTTTTTTTAAAATTTGATTATCTTAGTACCTTGTAAAAAGGAGCAGGAGTAGTTGAAATTTCGTTTCAGTTGACCGCAAATATCACAAGAAATCTCTAAATCCATCTACTTGAAGCTTGCGTTATCCTAAACCAATGTTATTATGGGAAGCATACCGTAGATCAATATTTGGAGAGAATTTTACGAAAACTACTTTTTTTAATGCGTAATG